TGGTCATTCACTGGAAACTCAGCCTAATTGCATAGGTACCTAGTTGGTTCCATGACGGCAGTACGCTGCATGTAAAGTGTCTCCCTAATACAGAAACGTAAATATGCAAGGGAACCCCAAAGTAAATGTCGTGCTTATAGGAGCACAGCGCAGCATGCAAGCATATAAACACTCAGCACCAGACACAGCGCGGATAAAATGTGATGCAGATGAGTACAGCATTATATTAAAGAATGCACAGGACATGCTGTGTGTATTTGTATTTACGTTATTTGATATTTACATATGTAAGGAGAGGAAAAGCGTAAATATTTGAACACATTACCAAATTATGCCTGGATTATCAGTGGTACTGATGCAGTAAACATGTATCTTCCAGAGGAGTGAAGCTGCACCTGCTCCTCTTCTCCAAAGGAGTTTATAAATGAAAGACTTGCTGTCATTTCCCTCCGTCTGTCTTAGATGAGTTGTCTCAGCTTTTGCTAACAATGACTCCTCCGAGCTGCCAGACCTGTGTGGGAAAACAAGGCCCCCCGGGCGAGCCGGGGCCCCCAGGGCCTAAGGGCACAAGTGGCGCCCCAGGTTACCCGGGAAGCGCTGGCTCTCAGGGCTTCCCTGGCCCCCCCGGTGTACAAGGACCCCAAGGAATCAAAGGTACAAGAATCAATTGGCTGCTGGTTCCACACAGGCAGTGAAATGTCATGTGTATGGACATGTGCTCAGATGATGTTGAGATGTCAAATGTGATGTGTACGGTCATGTGCTCAGATGATGTTGAGATGTGAAATGTCATGTGTACGGTCATGTGCTCAGATGATGTTGAGATGTCAAATGTGATGTGTACGGTCATGTTCTCAGATGATGTTGAGATGTGGACATGTGATGTGTACGGTCATGTGCTCAGGTGATGTTCAGATGTGAAATGTGATGAGTGTTTTCATGTGTTCAGGTGATGTTATAAATGTGATGAGTGCGGTCATGTGTTCAGGTGATGTTCAGATGTGAAATGTGACGAGTGCGGTCATGTGCTCAGGTGATGTTCAGATGTGAAATGTGATGAGTGTTGTCATGTGTTCAGGTGATGTTATAAATGTGACGAGTGCGGTCATGTGCTCAGGTGATGTTCAGATGTGAAATGTGATGAGTGCGGTCATGTGCTCAGGTGATGTCGGGCCAGTGGGACCAAAAGGACCCAAAGGGGATGGAGAAGAAGGACTCCCAGGTCCTCCTGGCCCTCTGGGTAAGCTGAGAGACCTTCTCCAAGAGCTTACAGCTCATGGTTAGAGGGTCATCCTGGCTCCGGCAGACTGTAATGCAGAATGATACTCCTAAGCAATGTCTGTACCATCACTACCTTAGAAAGCAGCTCAAGGACTGAAATACGTCGGGTTATATTCAAAGATCTTTTGTCTCAAATTCTTTCACCATTCTTTCATTTGTCTTTCCATCCTTGTGCTTGAACCGATTGGATGTTCAGGCCCCAGCAGGCTTTCTTAAAGTCTTAAAATGGTGAATAGTGTGTGTCTCTTTGGCATTGTTGAGACCAGTGCACCAGAATGGCTATATTATACACAAAAGCCCCTAAAGATCTGTAAATACTACCACCAGCTCAGGCCCACGGGGATATATACCACCAGCTTAGAGCCATGGGGATCTCTACCACTGCCTTTGGGCCACAGGGATCTATGCCACTGCCTTTAGGCTGCGGGGATCTATACCACTGCCTTTGACCCATGGGGATCTATACCACCAGCTTAGGGCCATGGGGATCTCTACCACTGCCTTTATGCCGTGGGGATCTATACCACCAGCTTAGGGCCATGGGGATCTCTACCACTGCCTTTATGCCGCGGGGATCTATACCACGAGCTTAGGGCCACGAGGATCTATACCACCAGCTTAGGGCTGCGGGGATCTGTACCACCAGCTTAGGGCTGTGGGGATCTGTACCACTGCCTTTGGGCCACGGGGATCTATACCACTAGCCTGGGGCAGCAGGGATCTCTACCACTGGCTTAGGGCTGTGAGTATGTCTACCACCAGCTTATTCCCATATGATTTTCAGGACCTCCAGGGCCACCGGGCAGTGATGGGGAGGGTTTGCCTGGGCCCCCAGGCTGCCCTGGCCAGGCGGGGGTTCCTGGAATCCAAGGGGAGCGAGGCCTGCCCGGTCCAGCCGGCTCCTGCGACGTCGCACTCTGCTACCAAGCCTACGGCCTGAGAGACGAGCATTTCAGCAAGGGGCCTGGTCCCTAGCCCCACCGCAGCATCTTGGAGGGCTTTCAGACCTAAAGCCGAAGAACAGCTCCTCCGGATGAGATGTGACAACGATTGAAATGGAGCATTTTAGTGATAAAAACATAAAGTGGCATGTCACCTCCGATCAGAAACGCATCACCTTAGAAAGCTACCTCTATGCTGGACACCATACATTCAGATGTGTGTAGATAAATAAAACCTCGCTTATTTTTAATGGCTTACATATAATATAAATATGTTTTTCTTATTTAAAGTCTACCGACCTAAACTAAGTATCTATACATGCCCTCCCATAAGATCAAATACATGGGTTTTAATGATATTTGTAGTGTATGTACATTGTCCACTATTTATGAAATTTATGTATTTATTTGATATTTTAGTTAATGTCACATTTAAGATTTCCACCCCTCAAGTGCCGAGCATCCTAAACCTGCCGGATTGCGACCCCCCCCCCTGCCATTTACTTCATTTATGCAGCACTGAACTTTTCCAGAAGTGCATAGTATTGTTTAATTGCCTATGTTTTTATTACATTGTAAAGCATACCTTGAATAGATGAGGTTTATATAATCTTACCTCATGACGGTGTTTGGTAAGGTGTGTGCTTTGGGATGCTGTGGTGGGGTCGTGTGTCACACCCCCGCTTCGGTCTTAGTGCCTGTGATCGGAAGGTTGCTGGTTCGAGCCCCGGCCTCTGCTGAATAGCTACATGCCTGGTCCCCTGAGTGAGGGGTGCTGGGTGACCCTGTGCTGTCACCCCCAAACTTACTCTGACTTCTATATGTGTCTCATGGAGAGTAAGATAGGGGGGGGCAAGAGAGAATTTCTCCACTGGGAAATGGAAGCATATAGCTAAAGATGGGCACTGAAAATATATATGTATTTGGTGTTTTTTGTGAACTCTGAATCCCCTTCTAAGATTATCAATCTGTAATATAATAAATGTGAATTACCGTTCTTTTGTTGGGTGTTTACAGGACCTGTGCTCAGCTGGGGTAAGACAGTGTCAGTGTCGTTATCATCCAGTCATAGGTTTGCTTTAGCACCTTGCCTTTTGTTGGCTTCCTGTAAGACACCCTCTGATTTCCTGCAGTGGCTTTGCAGTATTCTGTTAAAACTATGCGTCATCTCTCTTTTCTTACAAAGGAAAATGTCTATATGTACATTTTTTCTAAGAATTATCAGGATTAAACGGAACCTTTGTTTAATACACGTGCAGCGGTGCAAGACAGACTTTAAATGTGCAGTGATGTGAAGCTGCAGTGACAGGCAGCACTGGCAACAGTGCCCTTGCAGGTATACGTGGGTCTCTGAAACCTTGACTGCTCTGCCCACTTCAACCGGAAACCTCAGCTGTCCTGCACTGTTCAGCCACACTCACCCGAAACCACAGCCATTGTACCTGTTTCGGCCACACTGGTTTAAGTGAAACTAAGCCCGATATCTCTGTGTTACTGAAAGAAACTGCTCCATATAAAATTGTATACATGTCATACATTCTGAAGATATGGCAGTTATGTTAGGTAATTATTTTAAGGTTCTTCCTATTATAATGGATGGTGTTGGTGTTCATTGTCAACATCTGAGTATATCTTGTGATGTCTTTGCTATATATCTGTTCCATAAAAGTAAATTAAAAGTAATTATTTGGTGAAAACAAACTCAGAATAAAATGCCATAACCCATCTCCCAGCCTCAGCTGATTTCTCAGAAGTGGAGATTCTCGCTAAGAACTTTAAAAATATTAGCAGCTGCACCGCAGTTTAACTTGGCCAAACCACAAAAGTGCTTCCTGGCCAAATTCTGTTGTTGTCTTCAAACCTGTTAAAAACAGACTTCCGCAAAGCAGCTGTCTTCAAACCTAATATCAGCTTATTGCAACGTCTCATCCTGAAACTGAAAAGTGAGACGTGAAAATAATCTGTTTGCAAAGAAAAAAAAACATTATAAATCTACCAAGAAGGCAGGAGTAAATCTGCAATTATAGTCACCAAAATCAAACTATTTATAATGAGGTTTCCAGAACGTTTGAGTGACAATATATCAGATCAAGCAGGTGGATTCATTGCTGAATGCACAGTACTAGTCTCATTAATATATGCTTTGCAGTCATTTTCTGGCAGATAATCCAGCTTCCTCTAAATCACACACTAGCTGTCATTTCTGCAGCTCAGCTACTGTCAATGTATGTTTTACGACACATAACAATTTGACCATGTGGAGAATTTCTAATGAAATCCCTAAACATTCCCAAACTGTACTTAAGGAAAAAACATGCACATTTTTTGATTATTTCAAAATGTATCTTCATCTTACCATTGGAGATATAAAAGACATTGAAGATTTAATTAAGCCATGATGTTGAATTTTTATAGCATGTAAAAGATTTTTTTTTTACTATATTTCCCATGAGGCAAACTCGTTTTGTTCTGCTTCTAATTTAACAAAGAAAAATAACAATTCATAGTCAGAGTGAACTTTATTTGTCATCCCCACCATATACAAGTAGACAGAGAGACGAAATGGCGAAGCTCAGGGACCACAGTGTAAACATTAACTTATTGCAATAAAAAACAAAACAAGACAATGTGCAAATGGCAATGTGCAAAGGGCTATGTGCAAAAATTATTAGACTTGTACCAAGACAACTATATAAAATACAAACGAATTGCCACTGAAGTTCTATTACTGAAACCAGGAGCACTAAGTGTCATTTTTTTTTCGGTAACACCCACTATGAGTCACCAGAGCACCCAGAAAAGCTTTCGGAAAACTTAGAGGCGTGAAAAGTTTAAAGGGCAGACTGAACAGATCCTTGTGTCACATCTATACCTACCTTCGGGGGAGCATGAAGGTAAGGGGGGCCCGCATTCTCACAAGTTGCTTAATCACGTTTAATTGTCAATTTTTTTCAGAATCTGTAAATCTCTGTTGACAGAACTCGTCACAGATGGACCCTGAAGATTTCTTTGAATTTTTCAACACCTCAGGTTATGGTGAGATATATGACATTAAAAATGACTTTGTGCTGTTATGCGATAAGAAAGATGTCAACCGTTTTGGTGCAAAACTCCTGCCAGCCTTCTATTACACCATCTTCATGCTGAGCTTACTGGGAAATGGACTGGTCTTGTATATCATCTACAAATATGAGAAACTGAAGACGGTCACCAACATCTTTCTGCTGAACCTGGTCATCTCTGATCTGGTGTTTTCCTTGAGTCTCCCTTTCTGGGCCGTATATCACTCTTCAGAGTGGATCTTTGGCAGGATACTTTGCAAACTGGTGGGCGGCCTTTACTTTGTGGGATTCTACAGCTCCATCCTCTTCTTGACGCTCATGACCTTGGACAGGTACCTGGCGGTGGTTCACGCCATCACCTCTGCCAAGAACCGGAGGAACGCGTACGCCGTCGTGGCCTCTCTGGTGGTCTGGGGCGTCAGCATTCTAGCTACTGTCAAGGAGTTTGTTCTGTACAATGTGCAGAGGAATGAGCAGAGCGGCATGCTTTGCGAGGAGACCGGCTTTTCGAAACACATTCTCAATACTTGGCAGCTTGTAGGTTACTATCAGCAGTTTGTGCTGTTTTTTCTCTTCCCACTGGCTGTAGTTCTGTACTGTTACACTCGAATAACCATCAGGATTATTCACACACGAATGAGGGAGAAATGCAGAGCAGTGAAGCTGATATTTGTGATTATCGTGGCGTTTTTCATCTGCTGGACACCTTACAATGTCGTCATTATGTTGAGAGCTGAGCAAATCTCGAGCAAGTTTGATTCCTGTACCTCCGAGCTTGACTATGCCCTGTATATCACCCGCAATATCGCCTACCTGTACTGCTGCGTAAACCCTGTCTTCTACACGTTCGTGGGTAAAAAGTTCCGGAACCATTTCCGGAGGCTGCTCGCGAAGCACATTCCCTGTTTAAAGGAATACGTCTCGACAAGTCAGAGTAGTAAAACAACATCTTACAGGAGCCCGCCGACCGTGCACGAATACTAATAGATCTGAAAGGACATAGTAATGCTGAACGGTGTAAACTGAATTATTTTACCTGTAAGATGAGTTATGTGCTATGTAGCTATTTTAAAAAAAATATCAACATATGTGTAATCTCTGGATAATCTTTTTTTCATGAAAACTGTGATTCCAGTGTTGTGGCAGGATTAATTTTCGAATAATTCATGCAGATTATTATAACAACAATGACAAACTGATTTAAAAATGCTTATTTTATGCTTTGATATGAGACATCCCAGAAAACAGACTATGGTACGAAGTTCAATGACGGGAGATGTTGTACTTACTGTGAATGGGATCAAAGGCATAGTCAATTCTCACCAGTGGGGGTTACATACTGGGAGGGGGGTTAAAGCAGTTTGAAATCTGCATAATAATCTGCGCAGACATGGGTCTCACGCTGCCGCTTATGTAGCATAGTACCTGTAAGAGCACCTTTTATTTTCTGCTTTTTCATTATCGAGCGTTTGCTAGTGGGAGGCCTGCCCCCCCCCTCCCCCCCCCAGGGGGCCGTAATAGCCATGTGCAGCAGGATGTACATTCAGAATCACACATCAGAGTGTTTCAGACTGTGGTGTGGTACCTGGGGGGACGAAAGCAAACACGGTGAGAACATGCAGCAGATGTCTTGATCAATGTCATTGTGTTCATCTCAGTTAACCTAAAGTTCAAATGTAACATACATATCAGAAGTACAAAGTATAAATTGTTGCTTTTATTATTTTTTTTTTATAATTTTTTTATGTATAGAATGTGCTCTGAATTCATTGGTAATAAAGTTGCAGGCTTTGTGTTTGAAAATGTGTGTTGGTTTATAGCTCGTCTGCTGAAACATTGGTCACTACATATCATAAATGTACATGTGCAGTTGGTTATCTGCAAGGTCTTCTCCAGCTGGTCCCCCTACCTTGAGGACTTTGTGGCTGAACAAGGTCATTGGGACCTGCTCTTGACCACTGGTGGACCTCTCTGCTTAATCTTGGCTCTCAATCGTGTCTGTCTTTCAGCACAAGACTTAGTGCTCACTCTGTCTGCCAGTCTCTGGTGTCTAGGTCCACAGTGCAAGGTGAAACTCAGCCTCATGTCCTGCACCATGTGGAAGAGAAGCAAGACCCCTACACGACCCTGCCAAGCTTAGGAGATCCATGGATGGGCAAAGTAATAGATGTGGATAATTAGATCATATGCACTGTATCAAATAAATGCAATAAACTCTTCATCGCATAAAATTGCAATTCCTAGTACAATATTGCTTTCATCATTTATATTTAATATCTGACTCGATCATAATTTTTACAGCAGTCAGACTTAAACAATAACAACTTAATTATTAACAGCAGGTGTTCTTTTCTAAGATTTCAAGATTTTTAATTTCTGTATTGTGCTCAAAGTGTAGACACTTATAGCTAAGCCAGTAACTTCAGACCATCGCTGCGTTTCAGCATCAGTGCCACCACACCTCTCTGGAAATGGAGCATGTGATTGTGGGTAAAGCAGAAGCAGAACTATGTTAGGCCATAAATCATTGTCAGGAGGGAGAAAATGACAGCGAACATCACCTATTTGAGTGTGGAATGGAAGAAGCAGGGCAACTGGCAACTGGACACAAGATTTCCGTAGCCATATGTTAGACGATGGACAAACGGATGGATGGACAGGCATTAGATAGATAGATAGATAGATAGATAGATAGATAGATAGATAGATAGATAGATAGATAAAAGCGAGCCATAGATAATGCAGTATATAGTAACATCGCAGTTGCATAACTGCAGGATATCTGCATGGATTCTTGTAATCACAATGAAACTAAGAATAACATGAAGAGCTTCTGCTTTTTTATGGGAACCACAAACACGGCGGTTTATCCATGGAAGGAGTTGGCAGAACTGATTTCTCGGATTTAACTAACAAAACATTTATCATTATTTCATAGCTCAGAAGTCCATTAAAGAAAGGTTTGGTACATTAATATATTGCCATAATTATTTTTATACTGTAAAGGTATTTGTTATATAATTAGTACATAAATATAATGAATTAATGAGTGTGAGTAAGTGAAAGAATGACCGGAATGCCAATAAATGGATTTATGACTAAATACATGAACAAAAACATGAACACACTCTGCCTTTCTGAAATGATTTTCACTACTGCTGCTTGGTTGCTGTCTCATGCAAATGCAGTGCGCTGTTGTGCTCAGTGCTTTGGGAGAATGCACTTCGGGACAGCCATGCAATGCGCTGTTGTGCGCAGTGCTTTGGAAGAATGTACTTAGGGTCAGCCATGCAGTGCGCTGTTGTGCGCAGTGCTTTGGGAGAATGTACTTAGGGTCAGCCATGCAGTGCGCTGTTAGAATTTTAGAATTAGAATTTAGTGATCAGTGGTCATTGTCAACACACCACAGCACACAGTGCGCAACAACGAAATGTGACCTCTGCATTTGACCCATATGTGACTTTCGTGACATAGCAGAGGGCAGCTAATTCAGCGCCCGGGGAGCAGTGCTTGGGGACAGTACCTTGCTCAGGGTACCTCACTGTTGTGCGCAGTGCTTTGGGAGAATGTACTTAGGGTCAGCCATGCAGTGCGCTGTTGTGTGCAGTGCTTTGAGAGAATGTACTTCGGGACAGCCATGCAGTGCGCTGTTGTACGCAGTGCTTTGGGAGACGCATTGCACCACAGCATCCGAGCACTAGCCTTTCCCACAATGCTAACCCTCCTCTCTGTCGCCATTTGGACACAGTCATAGTTTCCAGTACGTTTTTTTTTTTTGCTCTCAAATCTCTTTTATGTAGCTGAAGAGGATAAAAAGTTGGAAGATGGAAGGATGGATGGATTTTGAATGTTTAAGTATTGATATGACAGTTGTGAGTACAGGACCCAAGGTAGACGAGGTTGGGAATGTCGGTTCTCCTCTGTGATGCGTGTCGATGTTGTAAGAGCAGCAACCAAAGGAACTGAAAGCAACATGGGGGCTTCCCATTATGTCAACATTTCGAAGGCATTTTAGACAATTCTAAAGCGTAATGGCCATTGTTTCAGGAAATTTGGATCACTAACACTTCAGAAAACGTTTAATGATCCTGTTATAATATGAATGTAGTGGTGAATATGTGAAACAAAACAGCTGTGGTCACGGTGCCTCAGAAAATGATTCTCCAGTCTGCTTTTCCACCTCATCAGCCCATTGCGATCCGTCAGATTTTACAAATGTGTATATCTGATTGTTCGTTTTTATTTGAGAGTTTAAATGAATGTATAAGGCAGTTTGACAGCCCCTGCTTAGTGAAATGATTACAATGATAATTGTTCTTTTTTTAACAAAAAAAAAAAAGTTTGGTCGTAATTGCAGTTATTTTACTTAAATTAACAATAAACATGAACATTAAAATGTGGGTCTTTGCTCCTTCCTGCCTCTTTTGCTCCTTCCTGCCTCTTTTGCTCCTTACTGCCTCTTTTGCTCCTTCCTGCCTCTTTTGCTCCTTCCTGCCTCGGAAGAGCCTCTTTTCTGAAAGGCTCTCATTTAGCCAGCTTTAGGATTTCAGGGATTGTTACAGATAATAATTCTGCTGACCCCCCCCCCTTAGTGAGCCCCCCTTTATGGAGCAGCCTCTCTGAAAAGCTTTAAATCCAGGCTAAAGCTCCCAGCTCTATAATAATACGGGGCTAGAACATCTCACAATAAGAAACACTGATGTGTGTGAATTCGGGTCAAAGACGATTTGTTATAATTATGCTAAAAGGTTCCGCAGAACGTACAGGTCATGCAGAGCGGTGCTGCCTCATGACACCATTTTACTCGCTGTTAAGGTTCCTTATCTCACCAGCAAATTCTCCATTTCCGTCTCCTTTTATTTCCTTGCTTTCCTAATACAGCGATATGCTCTGAAAACGTACAAACCGTTTCATTTCGAAGGATGACGTGATCTACCTGTCTTCATAATACTGCCATCTTTTGGTCTTTTTAGGGAATTTTATGTCACAAATTAAGCACATCAATTTGACAATGATTTTGATTCGCATGGGCCTTTGTCAGATAGGATTTTGTTAAGCAGTAAAACATTAAGAAATTTTAAATACTCTGGCAAAAAATTGAGATTAAGTAGAGAACAACCAAAAAAAAAAAAACATTTAGCATCTGAAATTTGTCATGCTTAGTAAAACTCTAGCATGAAAACGAATTTTGCTAATTTAACTTTTACACTGATGTTCAGTGGGAGAAAATTTTGCATTTATTTAGCAAATTCTTTTATCCAAAGTAACATATACCTGAGAAAGCAGGTCAGCCAGCATCCCTGGAGCAATCAAGGCTTAAGGGCCTCAGTCAATCGCCACCAGGGACCTGCCAATCAGGGCTAAAGGGCTTCGCTCAAGGGCCACCAGGGACCTGCCAATCGGGGCTAAAGGGCCTCACCCAAGGGCCACCAGGGACCTGCCAATCGGGGCACCGCACTGCCACTTCCGCACCACACTGCCACACTCGCACCGCACTGCCACTCCCGCGCCGCACTGCCACTCCCGCACCGCACTGCCACTTCTGCACCGCACTGCCACTCCCGCACCGCACCACTCCCGCACCGCACTGCCACTCCCGCACCGCACTGCCACTCCCGCGCCGCACTGCCACTCCCGCGCTGCACTGCCACTCCCGCACCGCACTGCCACACCCGCACCGCACTGCCACTCCCGCACTGCACTGCCACACCCGCACCGCACTGCCACTCCCGCACCGCACTGCCACACCCGCAGCCTGCCTTCCAGGCAGGGCGATTTATTGCCGACGTCGTAAAACACAAGCTGTCACGCCTTGTGTCTCTCCTGTGCTGTCAGGTCCCTGCTGGAATAATAGCTTAATTAGACACTAACCTTTACTCGTAATTGTTATACAAGGCACCCTCTAAGTCGTTAAATGACAAATTACAGTGACATCTTTCATGGACAGCTGTGAGCCCTGCACGCTGATTCAGGTTACGGGCTTTTGGGAGACGTGTGGGTAGCATCACTTTATGAATGTGACACCAGCAGAGAGGCACGCAATCCCATGACTGCGTGTGATTAGCAGTAGGAATGAATGCGGGCTTTCAGCTCACACGTGTCTATGCATTCCCTCCGAATGTGTTTCCTTTAAATAGCTGCACAGTTTTCATTTCTATTTACCTCGTATTGGCATTTTATACAAAAATCATATTTCTCAAGTACTGGTACTCAAATTGTTTTTGTACTTCATGAATCTCCAAGTTTTCATTTTTTCATGGGGGCACAATTAACAAAGAGAAAAAAAAACAAAGGCTTTACAATTTTATATTGTTTTCCCCAAGATATACATTCATTTTGATCCAAAAAATTCAAATATAACAATAAAAGATACTTTGTATTTCTTTGTTACTTGCTGAGGCTACAGTCCCCACTGCTGTTAGAAACCCGGCCCTTTGAGAGCCTGTGGGGAATTATAGGCAATTAACCCCCCAACCTCAGCAACCAACCTGCAGCAAGCGCTCCGTGACATTATCCTGCAAGCAGCGTTAAAACCCGCAGAGCGAGTGTCAGAAGCGTGATGTGAAATGGCTTTCCTTCCCGACGGCTTCGTGCATCTGGCCTTTCACTCTTCTTACATAGATCCTGAAATATCAGAGGATGTAATCAGCCATTGTAGCTGAGCACCAAACATTGTGGACATAAGGTTCATTACTTACTGTGTCTAAGATACACACTTACTGATCCCAGTATTAAGAAGGGCTTATTATTCCGGGCTGTGTGCATTAGAATGAATTAAGCCGCATTATTCCAGTGTCATTTCT